ATAAATAAATAAATAAATAAATAAATAAATAAATAAATAAATAAATAAATAAATAAATAAATAAATAAATAAATAAATAAATAACCCTTCGCACAAGTTTGTGGGGTTTGAGGAGCTGCTGCAGCAAAACAAATTCTGCTGCTGTTCCGTCGGGGCTGTTGTCGTCCACCACCAACAACTCAAAGTCCAAACCCCTGCAAACCCTAAACCCTAAACCCTAAACCCTAAACCCTAAACCCTAAACCCTAAACCCTAAACCCTAAACCCTTAATAAAGAATGAGCCCTTAACAATAAACCCTAAACTCCAAACAACAAACCCTTAACCCTTAACAATAAATCCCAAACTCTAGATAAGACGATATAAACGATAAACACTCAACAGCACACCCCAGGCCCTGAACCCTAATGGCAAACCCTAAACCCTAAACCCTAAACCCTAAACCCTAAACCCTAAACCCTAAACCCTAAGCTGACCACTGCTAAAGAATGAGCCCTTAACAATAAACCCTAAACTCCAAACAACAAACCCTTAACCCTTAACAATAAATCCCAAACTCTAGATAAGACGATATAAACGATAAACACTCAACAGCACACCCCAGGCCCTGAACCCTAAACCCTAAACCCTAAACCCTAAACCCTAAACCCTAAACCCTAAACCACTCCCTCTGGCCCTTCACCCCTGCATTCAAAACACCCCACAGTTCAAACAATGCCCTGGGGGCCCCCCAGCGCAAAAGGCCCTCCAGCCCCCAGGGGCCCCAGGGGCCCCCAAGGGCCCCCTGGGGTCTCCCTGGGGGCCCCCCGGGGCCCCCAAGGGTTCTCAGGGGCCCCGCAAAGGCCCCCAGAAGGCCCCGGGGGGCCCCCCGGGGCCCTTGGGGGGCCTCCAGGAGCTCTCAGGGGGCCCCCGGGGGCCCCCTGGCTGCCTCCAGGGGCCCCCAGGGGCCCCCGAGGGCCCCCTGGGGGCCCCTGGGGGCCCCCGGGGGCCCCAGGGGGCCCCTGGGGGCCCCTCGGAAGGCTTACGCTTTGTCGAAGACGTCGCAGAGGAGGAAAGTGAGAAGTGGCAAGTTTTCTTTTTCATTATAAGTGGGCAAAATGACAGTATAAAGCGCCATGGTGGGGGTTTGTGGGGCCCCGGAGAAGCAGCCACAAAATTAATTTAATTTCCCAAAAAATTAAATTTAATTTCGGCTTTTTAAACAAAAAAAAACAAAAATTCCACCAAGGCGGACAAGGGGGCCCCCAGGCCTGCGCCGACAGGGGGGGCCCCCGGGGGCCCCCGGGGGCCCCCCTGGGGGCCCCCCTGGGGGCCCCCTTGGGGGCCCCCCTGGGGGCCCCCTGGGGGCCCCCCGGGGGCCCCCCGGGGGCCCCTGGGGGGCCCCCTGTACCCTTGGAGTTAAAAAGGCAGCAAAAGGGGAATTTATGAATGCATGCGTTTGGTGTGAGGTGTATGTACACCTGAAGGTCACTTGGGAAGACGGGGGATGAAGGGAAGATTTGAAGGAAAACTTTTGGAAATAAATATTTGAATTTAAATATTTAAATTATTTAAATTTTAAATTTAAATAATTAAATTTAATTATTTAAATTTAAACTTCAGTTTTATTTCAAACAAATGCTGGTAGGTCTGCGCTTGGGGGAGGAGGGCCGAAGAGCCACGGACACTCCTAACCCTAAACCCTAAACCCTAAGCCCTAAACCCTAAACCCTAAACCCTAAACCCTAAACGCTAAACCCTAAACGCTAAACCCTAAGCCTTAATCCCTAAACCTTAAACCCTCAACCCTAAACCCTGAACCCTAAACCCTAAACCCTAAACCCTAGCTAGCTACTGCCAGCTAGCCGCTGTGAGCTGCAGCTAGCTACAGCCAGTGGCTTCGCGCCCTGCAAACCAAAGCTAGCCACGGATAGCTGTAGCTAGCTAGCCAGCTAAATAGCTAGCTAGCTAGGAAGCTACCTAGCTAGCTAGCTAGCTAGCTAGCAGTGAGGTGCTGCAGCGAGATAAGTTGCTGCAGCCACCCACAGTTCCTGCAGCTAGCCATTAATCGCTGCAGCTAGCCATTAATTGCTGCAGCTAGCCATTAATTGCTGCAGCTAGCCATTAATCGCTGCAGCTAGCCATTAATTGCTGCAGCTAGCCACAAGCAGCAGCCGCCAGCAGCAAGAAGCAGCAACTAGCAGCAAGAAGCAGCAGCTAGCAACAAGAAGCAGCAGCTAGCCACGAGTAGCCGCAACTAGCCACAAGAAGCAGCAGCTAGCCAAGAAGCAGCAGCTAGCCACAAGAAGCAGCAGCTAGCCAAGAAGCAGCAGCTAGCCAAGAAGCAGCAGCTAGCCACAAGAAGCAGCAGCTAGCCAAGAAGCAGCAGCTAGCCAGAATCAGCAGCAGCTAGCCACAAGAAGCAGCAGCTAGCCAAGAAGCAGCAGCTAGCCAGAATCAGCAGCAGCTAGCCACAAGTAGCGGCAGTTAGCCACAAGTAGCAGCAGCTGCAGCTAGCCATGAGCAGCGGCAGCTAGCCATGAGTAGCAGCAGCTAGCCATAAATAGCTGCATGCGAGTCATCAAATCCAGAGATCTACAAGACCCAATAACTATCCCGCAGCTAGCTACAGCTAGCTGCAGCAAGCTAGCAGCTAGCTACAGCTGGCTGGCAGCTAGCTACAGCTAGCTAGCAGCTAGCTGCAGCTAGCCAAGTACGGCCACGCCTGCTACAGCTAGCGACAGTCTTGCTACAGCTAGCCACGGCTTTGCCATAGCTAGCTACAACTTTGCCACAGCTGGCCACAGCTAGCTACAGCTAGATAGAGCTAGCTATAGCTAGCTAGAGCTAGCTACAGCTAGCTAGAGCTAGCTGCAGCTAGCTACAGATAGCTGAAGCTAGCTAGAGCTAGCTACAGCTAGCTAGCAGCTAGCTACAGCTAGCTAGGGCTGTGAAGTTCTTTGTTTCCTTTCATTTCCTTTCCAAAAAAATAATAAGGGGCAAATAAAATAAAATAAAATAAAATAAAATAAAGTGAAATAAAATAGAATAAAATAAAAATAAAGCAAAATAAAATAAAATAAACAATAAAAGTATTAAGCAAGGCCTTGCTAGACTTCATGCTGCAGCAGCAGCAGCAGCAGCAGCAGCAGCAGCAGTAGCTCAAGGGGCTGCAGCAAATTCGCTTGCTGTCTTTTACTCTGGTGAGCTGCTGTGGCTACTTCTCTAGCTAGCTGCCTGGAGACACACCTCGGGCAGTCTTTTGCTGCAGCAGCAGCAGCAGCAGCAGCAGCTGCTGCTGCTGCTGCTGCTGCTGCAGATCTTGAGAGTCTCAGAAGACACGCTGCCTAGGTTTAAGGGCTTGGACACTAGGGTTTAGGGTTTAGGGTTTAGACAGCGCACGGCTGGCAGCTACTTGAGGGCTTGTCTTTCGCTTCAGCAGCAGAAGCTCACAGCAGCAGCAGCAGCAGCAGCAGCAGCAGCAGCAGCAGCAGCAGTGCTTCGAGCAGCAAGATCGGCTTCGAAGGCGCAGGAGCGCAGCAGCAGCAGAAGCAACGAAGGCAGCAGCAGGATCTTGCTGCTGTTGTTTTCCATTTAATTAAATTATTTAATTAAATGATTTAATTAAATTAATTTAATTAAATGGATTTATTTAAATAAATAAATAAATTTATTTCAGCTTTTGCTGCTTCTGGCTGCGCCGGGCCTTGCTGCAGGTCCGGTGGACCTGGGGTGTCTGTACACCTGAAGTAAGGCTGCAGCAGCAGTTCAGGAGTTTCTCTTTGGCTGAAAAATAAAAATAAATAAAAAGAAAAAGCCCGAAGGGTCTGCAAACCCTAAACCCTAGACCCTAGGCGCTAAACCCTAAACCCTAAACCCTAGACCCTCGCTGGCGCGTGTCGGCGGCGCGGGTGGGCCTGGGGTGTATCTGCAGCTCTGGGGTGTCTGTACAGCTGGAAAAGCGGCGCAGCGGACTAAAAAACGAAAACTTACAAACAAAAGAATAATAAATTTAAATAAATGGAAATAAAAAGTGAAGAAGAAGAAGAAGATTGGTTGGGGAAGGAGCCCGCGGTTGCTGCGGTGTCTGTACACCGCAGCAGCAGCCGCTGCTGCTGCGCCTCTCCTGCTGCGCCTTCTCGCCACTTTTTTTCGCTTTTCTTCTTTAAATACTTTATTTTTTCTTTTTTATTTTAATTCGGAAATGCTCGAGCCTTTCCGGCGGCGAAAAGTCGAAGAGTCGCCGTCCGGACCAGCGGTCTGCTGGGGTGTACGTACACCGCACCGCCTCGCCTCGCGTTTCGGCGAAAACTAAAAAAACCGAAAAACTCCAAATTTTCGGCTTTTTTCGGGTGTACAGACACCTCTTGACGCGCCGCTTCGCATTCTTCTCTTTAGTGTCTCTTTCGGCTTTCTTTTTCGTCTCTTTTGGGTCTCTTTTGTCCCCTTTTGTCCCTTTTCTCGCCACTCCCGCCCTCCGCCTCGAAAAGGCCTTTCTAATGCAACAGCCGCTCTCCGCTCTCTCGCCGGTTTCCTCTAAATCCGCCTAAGGCCTCGACTTTGTCTCTTTTTCTCTTTTTCTTTTTGTCTCTTTTTTGTCTCTTTTTTGTCTCTTTTTTGTCTCTTTTTTGTCTCTTTTTTGTCTCTTTTTTGTCTCTTTTTTGTCTCTTTTTTGTGGCTTTTTGGGCCTTTCTTTGGCCCTTTATTTGATTCTTGTTGGCTCTATTTTGGTCTCTTTTGGCCTCTCTTTTCGTCTCTTTTTGTCTCCTTTTTTGTGTCTTTTTGTCTCTTTTTGTCTCTTCAAAAATGGAGACTCGGAAGTTCTTTCGCGGGTTTTCGCTTCGGACCCTCATCGGTGAGTGAAGTGTCTCCTTTCTCTTTTTTTGCGCTGCATTTTCGTGTCCCTTTTCCCTCTTTTTTGTCTCCTTTTGTCTCCTTTTTGTCCCTTTTTGTCTCTTTTTTGTCCCTTTTTGTCCCTTTTGTGTCTCTTTGTTGTCCCTTTTTTGTCTCTTTTTTGCCCTTTTTTTGTCTCTTTCTTGTCTCTTTTTTGTCACTTTTTTGTCTCTTTTTTGTCCCTTTTTTGTCCCTTTTTTGTCTCTTTTTTGTCTCTTTTTTTCCCTTTTTTGGCTCTTTTTTGTCTTTTTTTGTCCCTTTTTTGTCTCCTTTTTGTCCCTTTTTGTCTCTTTTGTGTCCCTTTTTAATTCATTTTGTGTCGCATTTTTTGTCTTTTTTGTCCCACTTTTGTCTCTTTTTTGCCTTATTTTTGTCTCCTTTTTGTTTCTTTTTTGTCCCCTTTTTGTTTCTTTTTTCGTCTCTTTTTTGTCCCCTTTTTGTCTCCTTTTTGTCTCCTCTTTGTCCCTTTTTTGTCTCTTTTTTGTCCCTTTTTGGTCCCTCTTTTGTCCCTTTTTAATCCCTTTTTTGTCCCTTTTTGTCTTCTTTTTGTCTCTCTTTTGTCCCCTTTTTCTCTCTTTTTTGTCCCTTTTTTGTCCCTTTTTTGTCCCTTTTAAATTCATTTTGTGCCTCTTTTTTGGTCTTTTTTGTCCCTTTTTGTCCCATTTTTGTCTCTTTTTTGCCTCCTTTTTGTCTCATTTTTGTTTCCTTTCGATATCTTCTTTTGCCCCCTTTTCGTTTCTTTTTTGTCCCCTTTTTGTTTCTTCTTTTGTCTCTTTTTTGTCCCCTTTTTGTCTCTTTTTTGTCCCCTTTTTGTCTCTTTTTTGTCTCTTTTTTGTCCCCTTTTTGTCTCTTTTTTGTCACTTCTTTTGTCTCCTTTTCATCTCCATTTCATTTCCCTTTTGTCTCTTTTTTGTTTCTTTTTTGTTTCTCTTTTGTTTTTTTAATTTCTTTTTTTCTCTTTATTCATTGTTTTCTTTAGTTGTTTTATTCTTTCTTTCTTGTTTCTTTTTTGTCTTTTTTGTTTTATTTTTGTTTCATTTTAATTAATTTTTGTTTCCTTTTACCTCTTTTACTTTTTTTTATTTCTTTTTTGTCCTCTTTTGGTGTTATTGGATTTATCTTTTGTCTCTTTTTTCTTTTTTTGTTTTCCTTTTCTCTTTCGCCTTTAAATTTCATTTTTTGTTTATTTGAATTTCATTTTTAATTTCTTTTTATTTCATCTTTGTTTCTTTTAATTTCATTTTTATTTCTTTTTTTAATTTTTTTGGACTTCTTTTTGTTTCTTTCAATTTCCCTTTTCGTCTTATTTAATTTCAAATTTTAATTTTATTTAATTTCATTTTTGTTTTATTTAATAACTCTGTTTTTTATTTCTTTTTTATTATTTTTTATTTATCTCTTCTAATCCTTTTAAATGCCTTTTTCATATTTTGTAATTCGAATTTTTATTTTTCTAATTTTGATTTTTATATTTTTCAATTTTAATTTTTTACTTTTAAAACTACTTATCAGTCTTCCATTTTATCTTTTATATTTTATTTTTATCTCCTTTAATTTTCTTTTCTACTTTTAATTTTATTTAGTTTTAATTTTATTTTTTATTATTTTTATTTTCTTTTTCATTTTTTGTTTTATTTTTATCTTTTATTTTCTTTTTGTTTCCTCCAGTTTGTCTCCCAAACTGTCTCTTTTCAGTTTCACTTTTTAAATTTTCTTTGAATTATTTTTCAAATTCAATTCTTTTAATTATTCCTTTTAATTATTTCTTTTGATTATATTTTTTGATTATTTATTTAATTTGTTTCTTTTAAAAATAAAATGTAAACAAAAACACTAAAATCAAATTCCATTTCGGGGCCCCCCCGCGTCTCCCGGTGCTTCTGTGTCTTGCTGCAGCAGCAGCAGCAGCAGCAGCAGCAGCAGCAGCAGCAGCAGCAGCAGCAGCAGCAGCAGCAGCAGCAGCAGCAGGGGCTACGCCGTGGGCAGCAGACTCTGCTGCTGCTGCAGTTTCAGAAACAGCAACGGGGGGCCCCTGGTCAGACACAACTCCTTTATTGGGGGCCCCCAGCGACAGTGAAGAAGAGGGGCCCCCCCTGGGGGCCCCCCGGGGGGCCCCCCGGGGGGCCCCCCCTGGGGGCCCCCAGGGGGCCCCCCTAGGGGGGCCCCCCGGGGCCCCCTCTTGGTACCCTTTTAGGGGCCCCCCGTCTGTCGCCTCTAGTGCCTCTACAGCAGCAGAAGACGAGTTCGAAAGCCTTAGCCAGCAGCAGCAGCCTGCAGCAGCAGCAGCAGCAGCAGAAGCAGCAGCAGCAGCAGAAGCAGCAGCAGCAGCAAAAACAGACCATGTGCTCAATGAGAGCAGCACAGACGCAGCAGCAGCAGCAGCAGCAGCAGCAGAGTTGCTGCCACAGGACCTCGAAGGTCAGCAGCTAATAAAGAAAACTTTTTTGTTTTTTTTTCTTTCTTTTTTCTTTTTTATTTTTTATTTCTTTTTAATTCTTTTTTCTTTTTTTTTATTTTTTTTGTCTCTTTTTTTTTCCTTTTTCTTCCTGAATAGTTTGTCAAGAAGCTGCTTCTTCAATTATCTTTCTTTTGTCCTTTTATTTTTATTATTTTTTATTTTTATTTTTATTTTTATTTTTATTTTTATTTTTAAAAACTTTATTTTTCTTTTTTGCTGCAGAGCTGCTGCGGCAGCACCTGGTGTCTCTCCGCGACCCTCGGCAGCTGCCGCTGCAGCTCGCTGAGAAGCTGCTGCTGCTGCTGCGGCCTGCTGTGGACGAAGCAGCAGCAGCAGCAGCAGCAGCAGCAGAAGGAGCAGCAGCAGCAGCAGCAGCAGAAGGAGCAGCAGCAGCAGCAGGATTTCCCACGCTGCCGCCGGGTGAGGCTGCTGCTTCCCTCCAGCTGTACATACACCAGACACTCAGCTCTCTTTCACAGAGGCTCCAAATCTCATCTGCTGCTGCTGCTGCTGCTGCTGCTGCTGCTGCTGCTGCTGCTGCTGTCTCCGTTTAGATATCGTCAGTGCTCTTCGAGCAAAGGACCCGCGGACTGTTCTTTTGGCCCTTCAAAACGCAGGTAATGCAATGCAGCTTCCTTGAGAATAAACAAATCTGCTGCTGCTGCTGCTGCTGCTGCTGCTGCTGCTGCTGCTGCTGCTGCTGCTGCTGCTGGTACCGCTGCTGCTGCCCTTTTGTTGCTTGAGCGTCCACTGGTTTTTCTGGTATTGCTCTCTTGCGGTTGACCGCGCCGATTCTGCTGCTGCTGCCGCTACTGCTGCTGCTGCTGCTGCTGCTGCTGCTGGACCTGCTGCTGCTGCTGCTGCTGCTGCTGCTGCTGCAGGCCTAGCACACGTGTCTGCGCCATTTGTGGAGACGGAAATGGTAGTGCTGCTCAACAGTCTGCAGCAAACAGACGCAGCAGGCTTTTGGTGGCGCCAGAGGGGCCCCGGGGGCCCCGGGGGGGCCCCCGGGGGGGCCCCCAAAAAGGGTACAGGTGGGGGGCCCCCCCGCCGCGGAGTTCGGCTTTTAAGAAAGACCAAAAGTTTGCTGCTGGGGAATTCAAAGAAGGGAAATAAAGAAGAAGCTGTTAAGGCACTTTGGGGGGTCAAGGGCCCCACTTTCCAAGGTTCGGGAGAGCTGCTGCTGCTGCTGCTGCTGCTGCTGCTGCTGCTGCTGCTGCTGCTGCTGCTGCTGCTGCTGGGTGTGGCTTTGCTTGAGGGGGCTGTATGCATGTCTTGCAGCCTCTGCAGTGAGGTAGAGCTAGCTCGATGGCTAGCCAGCCAGCTGCATGCCCAGCTAGCTAGCTAGCTAGCTAGCTAGCTAGCTAGCTAGCCATCTAGCTAGGCTCCTGGTCAAATAAGCAGCCATCCAGCTAGCTAGCTGGCCAGCTAGCTAGCCGGCTAGCCAGTTAGTCAGTCAGCTAGCTAGCAAGCCAGATAGCCAGCTAGCTAGCCAGCTAGCTAGCCAGCTAGCCAGCTAGCTAGCCAGCTAGCTAGCCAGCTAGCCAGCTAGCTAGCCAGCTAGCTACGTTTTGTTGTGTGGGTGCGCAGGGCCGAACAAAGCTGCTGCTGCAGTGCATTTGCTGCGGCTGGAGGCTCTGGGCCATTTGCTGCTGGAAGCAGCAATGGTGGGCCTTTTTGGGTTTTGCGGCCCTTTCTTTTTGCTGCAGAAAGGAGACACTTTTAGCTGCGAAGCAGCAGCAGCAGCAGCAGCAGCAGCAGCAGACCCCAACCGCCTGCTGCTCAACAGCGCCATCTACGTCCCTCTCCCGGAGGTGACGCGCCCCAAACCCTAAACCCTAAACCCTAAACCCTAAACCCTAGGCGAGCGAGGGCCCCTGCCTCGCTGCCGCTTCTAGCAGCTGTCGAGGGTTTAGGGTTTAGGGTTTAGGGTTTGCGACTGGAACCTTCAAAGGGCTCCCCCTGCGGGCATCAAGAGAAGCGCCTCCAAACCCTAAACCCTAAACCCTAAACCCTAAACCCTTGCTGCGCCTATTTCTGTGTGTCGCTGCAGGTGGCCTTTCTCCCCATCGAGCCTCCTCTTCCAGTGGAGCTTCGCTGCGAAGAGCGTGCGTGCCATTCTTAGGGTTTAGGGTTAAGGGTTTAGGGTTTAGGGTTTAGGGTTTAGGGTTTAGGGTTTAGGGTTTGTTTTGTTCAGGTTCTGCGGAGGCGCGAGCGGCTGCGCTGGAAGCAACGAAGAGTCCCTTTTGGAAGGCAGCAGAGGGGACAACTCCGAGGGTTTTGCGTTTGCTGCCGGGCGCTGCAGCAGCAGCAGCAAACCCCGCAGCAGCAGCAGCAGCAGCAGCAGCAGAAACCCCCCTCCTCGACTGGGCCTCCCCCCCCTGGCAGCGGCTAGCTGGCGGGCTGCATGCAGCAGAACCTGGCAGCGAATTAATAATTCGTTTGTCTCTTTTTGCTGCAGCAGTTAATGCCATTCCTTTCGACTTCTCCCAAATACAAAACGAGACTCAGGCCCTTGTCGGGGCCCTCGCGGGGGCCCCGGGGGGCCCCCAGGGGGGCCCCCAGGGGGCCCCCCAGGGGGGCCCCCGGGGGGGCCCCAAGAGGGGCCCCAAGGGGGGCCCCCAAGGGGGCCCCACAGAGTGGCTGCTCAGCCAGGGCCCTGCCAGCCGGAAGCCTGCAGCAGTTCCTCCCTTGGCAGATCTTTTGGCCAGGCTAGGTCAGAGTTTAGGGTTTAGGGTTTAGGGTTTAGGGTTTAGGGTTTGGGGTTTAGGGGTGTTTGCTGCAGCGGGTGGGTCGTTGGTTTATATTTAGCTTGCTGCGAGTCTGCAGAGCGAGTCTGAAAGGGCGTTTCTTCTTGCTGGGGTTTCGAGGGTTTAGGGTTTAGGGTTTAGGGTTTAGGGTTTAGGGTTTAGGGTTTAGGGTTTGTTGTGCAGCGACGGCGTTGCGCGCAATAACGGGCCCGCCCGAATCGCCGAACCCGCTGTGGGCGCGCGCGGAAGCGGCGCTGCAGCAGCAGCAGCAGCAGCAGCAGCAGCAGCAGCAGCAGCAGCAGCAGCAGCAGCAGCGGCGGTTTGCAGACTCGCTGCTGAACCAGTACGCGGAGCTGCTGGAAGCAGCAGTTTTGGCCCCGCTGGACTCCGTGTCTTCCCGCTGCAGTTTGCTGCTGGCTGTTGGCCTTTGGGCAAAAGAAAAAAATAAATTAAATTTCAAAACTCAACAAAACCCCAAAGTCCAACTCCTCCTCAGACTCCTCCTCAACAGTCAGCACACTCATCAGCAGCAGCAGCAGCAGCAGCAGCAGCAGCAGCAGCAGCAGCAGCAGCAGCAGCAGCAGCAGCAGCAGCGGCAGCAGCAGCTTTTGAATTGAATTAATTCTCTCTTTTTGTTTTTGTGTCTCCTTTTGTCTTTAAAAGCGAAGGGCGTTGTCGACGAAGCTGTCAATCTCATCGTCTCCGCAGCAAAGTCCAAAAAGCCTCGTAAG